CCGTTCCAAAAGGCGGTATGTTCAATTTTCAAAGTAAATAAATATGGCCTTTTTGGCCAACCTATAATAATATTGAACAACTTAAACGGCGTTAACATATAAGAAACTAACGCCACTTTTATTATGACACTTTCGGCGTTGTTTCAATCTTATGATTTGTTGAAATTGAACAACATAACGTCGTTAAAACAAGTTAAAATAAAACTAATGCCGTTTTCATTGTGACCGGCCTTTCGGCCAATCTTATATTTACGGCGTTTTAAATAAAAGTTACCGGCGCTTTTCCCTTTCGGCACTGTTCAAAGCTTGTGATTGGTTGGAATTGAACAACGTTACTGCCTTTAACTTAAAAGACAACAGCGTTTCATAAAGCTGGTTTCCCACTTGGCGCATTAATTCGCGCCAATCAAAACGTCGGTTCGATTCGCTTCCTGAGCTCTGATTGGTTGTGCATTTTTTCACTTTGCAAAAACTCTGATGTGCATGCGCATGAACTGACGCTTTCGATTCGCGCGAATAAATTCGCCTAGTGGAAAACCGGCTTTATGGCCCTGATGGCTAACCATAAATGTAAGGTCTCACAATAGTTGCCAACTTTTCCCAAAAGAAATCTGTGAGAACTCGCGTTGCGTAGCCACGTGCCACTGGCTGGGCAGGGGGAACAGGGAGAGATCCCCTGGCCCAGGGGGAGGGGCCTCGGGGGCCATTGACAAGAGTTTTGACGCTCGCGCAATCTGAGCATTTTTTTTCACTACTGATGAGATTGATCTTGGACACTAAATTAATTCAAGTGTATGTAAACTTATAACCAAAAAGTTATACTCATTTAAATTTGACCAAAATACAGTACTGTAAACTTAGGATGAGTACCAGACAGTTGCTTGGTGTAAAATAAAAACATTTTTTACGGACTCACTTTTATCATGGAGGTATATATACCTCCATGCTTTAATCATGAATCACGGTGTACAGACAGTACTTTCATGTGGGAAACAAACAAACTATGCCCGGTGAATTTTGATCCGTGAGTAACTTTGAAATCCGTGAGTTTTTGTTCATCCATAGTAAAACTGGTAAATGATAAATTATCCGTGAGTCTCACGGTCAATCCGTATAAGTTGGCAACTATGTCTCACAATGGAAAAATCATTATCATCGCTAGAAAAAAAAAAGAGTTTATATTGAACCACAGCTTTAATTTGGTCTTTGAATGGCTTCCCTAGGATAAATAGATCCAGAGATATTAGCATTTAAGGAGTGTATGAGAACCACCAGGTTTTGAGAAAATCGGCCTCAACAAAGATAACTAACCTGTACAAATAATAGTACTAGAATTACATAGCCGAATATGCGCAGAGAACACTGCTTTATAGAAAATTCACTTAAAATGTACACAATCATAAAATATAAGTATCAAGTTATTCAAAAACATAAAAATCTAAATTTCGTAAAAATGTTGCCCTTGACCTATTTTGTATGGAACGCCGTTGCTGCCTTTGGTGGCTCTTTTCCGTTCGGCGCATTTGCTATTCGGCTTTTTACATTACGTTTGGTGCTTTTTACATTACGTTCGGTGCTTTTATTAACATTACATTCGGTGCTTTGAAACATTACGTTCGGTGCTTTTAACATTACGTTCGTTGCTTTTGCCACACTTACGGATCTTTTATCATTTGGTGCTTTTTAGTTTTACCTTTCGGCCCTTTCATCATTACCTGTCTCTTATACACATCTAGATGTGTATAAGAGACAGGTATGATAGTAATCGCACATATGGTAGCACCTGTCTCTTATACACATCTAGATGTGTATAAGAGACAGGTACAGAGAATTTCGATTGTTTATCAATATCATCATGTTAGATCCAAAACACGTTTTATGCAGGCACCGACGAGGATAGATTAAACATAATAATAATAATAATAATAATAATAATAATAATAATAATAATAATATAATTTTGATATGTACATGTTTTATGTTATATGTTGATTAGTTTTAGTTAATAATATTACAGTTTAATGGTTTAATGGCCCCAGAACCCTGAACCCCGACGGAAGCAAATTGGCCGTAGATCGGGAGTTCTAAATGTGGAATTGTGGATTTTCTCCCCAAGAGATGGGTGTTCTCCCTGTACCCTCCCACTGCACTGGCTCCACCCTGCTTCACGAATTGCCTTTTTCCAACTTGGGACCCCTGCAAATGTATCTTTGTTGTAATATAAATGCTAAGTTTTTATTATTTATTTGAGGTATATTTATTAAAAATTCAACATAAAAAACATACATAGCAGCAACAAAGGCTGAATTGCGTATGAATTAAGAAGTAAGTATAAAATATATATTATATAATATTAAAAAGGTAGACAAAATAAAAAGAAAAAAAAAATAAATACCAATATCAAAATACGAGATAACACCACGGAAGGAGCATTTGTAAAACGACCGGACAGTAAAGGGAGGGGAAAATAAATCAATCAACTGGAGAGGGAAATTTTGAGTTTAACTTTTATATATTATGCAAGACAAAAATGGGATCGGACTTGTTTGGAATCGTTTGGTTACCGGTAATTAATTAATTAATTAATTAATTACGTTTCTTTTTTTTTTAAATAAGCCTGCTTCTTCATATCCGGAATAAAGAAGAGTCCCCCCTAGTAATTTTTGTTTTCAATACTAGGTCTATAAATCTTATATTTCTATTTGCCCTAAAATACCACCAAAATCATGTGGAAAAAAACTAGAACGTACCCTTTCCCTTTCAAACTTAGGGACAAGAAAATGTAGGTCCAGGTCTTCTAATACTGTTTTGATTGATCGAGACATTTTTGTTTTCGTTAGTTATTAATTTTATCACTAAGATAATCACATGTCGAATATGCTTTGTTACGCGCGATTTTCCACTAGGCTCATTCCCACAGCCGTTGATTTTTTTTCCACTTGACCCGATGTCAAAGGTCATGAAAGCACTGAATGATAAAAGAACCGTACGTAATGATGAAAGGGCCGAAAGGTAAAAGCAACAAATGATAAAAGAGCCGAAGTGCGGCAAAAGCACCGAACGTAATGTTAAAAGCACCGAACGTAATGTTAAAAGCACCGAACGTAATGTAAAAGCACCGAACGTAATGTAAAAGCATCGAACGTAATGTTAAAAGGGCCGAATAGCAAATGCGCCGAACGGAAAAGAGCCACCAAAGGCAGTAACGGCGTTCCATACTCTGTGCACTATGCACCCCGGAAGTACTGTACAGCGTTACTATTAAGATACTTGAAAAATATGGCCGCTTCCGCAATATTAAATTATTATTCAAATATTCAGTCAAGTAAAGGTAACAAAAATGATACACATTATCCAGTCAACCATTTACAACGCATTGTAAAATAATAAATTAATCATATAATAAATGTTCCATTGATGATGAGCTATAGTAGAAAATCCAAATGCCAAATGGCCTTCAAACATGGCGTCGAAAAAAAAGTACATGAAACATGGATGCTACGGTCTACATACATGTCCTATGGTTAAGACTCTAAAATCTTGCTTTGAACGTAAAAATATCACAGATTACAATGCTTAATTTTAATATGGTTTTCTATTTTATTAATATTGGCACCCGCATAGCATAGGTTTTGTATGTCACGTGACAAGAAAGGTGTAGAGTCGATTCGGCCCCGTGACGTTTCGGCACGAGTCGTTTCGGCCCGAGTCGATTCGGCCCAGGTCGTTTCGGCCCTGAGTTTTTTGTCGCATGCATTTGTATGGAGCGCCGAAGGTGCCGCCGCAAATAATAATTTAATAGAACATGGTGGCCGCTAAATTAAACATGAAACTTAGGCTATATCACTGCAAAATTATCAGATATTAACAATTCTTTTTAGTAGTATTTTATTATTATTATTATTATTATTATTATTATTATTATTCATTGCGGTATAAAATAGTGTTGTCTTTCTTTTTACAGGAACAACGCAAATGGTACAAGTCGATTGGTTTGGAGGCACGTTTCTTTTTTTTTTTTTTATCGTTTCCATACGATGTAGGCAGTGCCGGATTAACCATTAGGCAAATAAGGCACAAGCCTTGTGGGCCAGGCAAAAATGATGGGCCAACAAAAAGTTGGACTGCAATATTATTTACATTCTATTTTCCGGAATTATTAGGCCAGAAAACTCGTAATTATTACCATGGGGTCCATTCAATTAACATTTTTGGGCCATTTCCAAAATGTGCCTTGAGGCCAGACGATGCTTTAATCCGGCACTGGATTTATAAAACAAGTAGGCTTATAGTTACTTTAGCCGATTAGTTTGTTGCATGGAAACTAATTATAAAAGTCGGAAAGAAACCCTACAAACAGCTTTTCACAGTACTCTTAGGCCTAATAATAATAATAATAATTCAATGCGACTAATTAAAAATAATTTGTGTTTTGTTATGACAAATGCTCATTTAGATAGCATCATGATGGTTGGAATACATCGTGGTAGGTGAAGCAACCTCAAACATGACAGCATGGTTGACAGATTTCATGCAAAATTTCCAAAAAAATAGAATTTCACTTTCAAGAATGAGGATTGAAAATAAATTAGATACAGTAGTTACATTACATACTCTTTGTTTTTTGCATTATCAAAATGTTTTGGTTTCGGAAGCTGATTTCAACATTAGAAAGCATAGCCTATATGAAGTCATATTATAGTAACTCGATGCCTATCAAATAAGTAATAAAAATTTGCCATAATTCATCAAATATCCGTGGCTTTCAGGGGGCTTCGCCCACTGGACCCCCACCGGATCCCTGGCCCCAGCCAAGTGAGGCTCGATTTGCTCCACAAGTCCCCCATCCTGTCGGGCAGGTCCTGGCGCCATCACCAAATAAATCACCAATTAAACCACAGTGCGTACTTGGCGCTCCACACTAATTGCAATGTCGAAATCCGGCCCTACAAAACAATAGATCTAGACTCGACCACATCTAGCCGAATCGACACGTACAACATTTGTTGATCAAATCAAGTAGGTAGCAAGTCAATATTTTGTACTACTGTATTGTTTGCCAGTTTTTGTATTAATTAAAGGTATTTTCAGTACAATTTCTAACCAGGTTGGGACTAGGTAGTTCTCTAACTAATGAAGGTTATTTATATAATTTTTAGGCCAATTTGATCCTAGGCCGGCTTGAAAAGGAAAGCCCATCTCAAATCCATGGGCTTCTTTTTAATTTATCTTAAATTCTCTTGGCTACATAGACCAGGCTATAATTGAGATAGGTGCCACTTGGAGAGGTAGAAATTCTCATATGGTTTTTCTAGACCAGTTTTTCATGGGGAATCGGAGTATGCGAGGTAAAAAGAGGCATAATCTGAGAACTTTCGTGTGAGGGCGCTTTTTTCAAAATGGCCGCCAAAATCCAATAAACTACATATGAGTAAAATAAGCACAGAAGAGGTAGGTTTGACCAACTTTTGAATATGTAATGATAGGAGTAAAGTATAACTAGCTATATAGTTATTAATGTGAAGATATCGGGGTTTTTTTTCGAGGGCACTTTTTAAAATGGTCGCCAAAATTAAAGAACAATTTAACAGCAGCTTCAATACCCTAAATAAATTCGCCGTGGCTAGAGATACGGTACCGTATCGGAACTTCCGATTGCTAAAGGTACGGTAAATGATATTACGTCATGATTAGCCAATAGAAACGCCGATACATGTGTGACGTCATTCAGTGCAGTGCTGCCGCAAGCTGGTGTTTAGCAACGATCGAAGATAAGAAATTTCGTTCGTTCGCGGGTGTTTTGACAAGCCCTGTCATTAATATTCTGTAGCGCGAAGCCCTATAGCAAATAAAAAAGGATAGCAGTTTTGCTAGATTTGGCGACATCAAGGGAGAATAAACTATTTTAATAGATTAGTAGAAGCCAGGCCTACGCCTTAGCCCCTGAAACCTAGCGAAGCCGGAGGGCCTAGCTAGAGTAGTACTAGTACTCTATGTCTAAACTAGCCTGAACATCCCTAGGCCTAGGTCCGACCTTTCCTTGTTGTTACTGCCTATCTTAGGCCCGCACCCTAGTTGAAATCTGGCTAGGAATAGTAGTAGTAGAAGCCTATTCTATTGCCAAACCTGCCAAATAATCTAGTTACTTATGTAGTGGCTGCTACACTTATTTAGGCAATAGCCTCCTACTAGCCCTTTTGAACTTGAGATTTGAACTGTGTGATGGTGAAGTTTTTGATTCAGACAAATTTCAGGACACTCGTAATACTATAAAATTAGTTGACCAGTGAGAACAACTCCTAGGGCCTATGGAATGTTTATGTGGGGAAATTTCTTGAGGCCCTACTGTATTTGCAATTTAGAGACGAATTTTTCCAGTTTTGCTGAGGACTTTAGTGAGACGACAAGCAAATTATTACACTCAAGAAAAGGCTGATCCATGTACTTAAATAAATCAAACACAGTATTGCCATTACAACACTTCATACAAGTAAAATCTTTTGGAATGGAAATTACATTAAAAAAAGTAAACACTGTTGCCCCTTACACTTCATGCATAAATATAAATTGTATACTATAACACAATCCAATAACATAGTTGCACTTTATTAAAAATTTTTACTTAACTGGATCATACTAAAAGTATGTACTATATCTATTTATAAACAAAACCGAACATGCATTGTGAAATACGAATAATTAAAAGAGTTGCAATTATAAACCAGACTATATTCTATACTAAAAGTATGTACTACTACCGTAAAAACCTTGGATTGAAGCCTCCCTCCTTAGTTTGCAAAATTAGCCTCGAAAAGAAGCCCATGATAGCATAAGCTTCTTTTCAAGAGAGTACAGTACATACACTGTACATGAATTCCAAAAAAAAATTAATTAGTTAATTAAAAACAAGCTTGGTTTAGACAGTAATTTAAGCGATTTAATGCCAGTTAAATGCATTCCATGATACAGATTGATGTACACTGGCTTTATTATTTCATAGTACAAATTTACAAAATGTACAGCATTCATTTTGACAAGAAGCCCCCCCCCCCCTATAAGAGACAGTATTTACTGTGCTGTAAGGAAACAAAAATAAAGACAGATAGGAAAGACTACAGTTAGTTTATTTACAGAAACAAGTAAGTACCATGAGTTATGACCTGACCAAGCCCATGCACTGTTCATACAATAGGCCCGCCTTGGCTAGTGTACTGTGCATACTACAGTAATTCCCTGTAGTGTACGCACTGTAGGCCTATATACTACTACAGTACTACAAATTAAGTTTACTATTACTATCATCACTGATAATTACTGATAATTACAATCGCCATGTTGTTTGGTTGGCTTTCAATCTGCAATAATAACTAGTGCCTACTATTCTATAGGCTTAGGCCAGGCCCCTAGTAGTAGCACTTCAGTACTAAGCCTAGCCTACAGTGGTACGTAGTAGGCCTATGAGTCGCCCTATGCCCCTAGGCGGGTATTCGGGCTAGGCCCTAGGCCTAAGCCTGGCTTTAGTAGACCATTCTCTATGGTAGACCATAAAATACGCCAGAATAACAGAAAGGATTTTTAACCCAAACATTGTGGGCGCCACATTGTGATAAGCCCCAATCGAAATACATGAAATGGGCCTAAAGTTTTATGACATAAATTTGATCGTAAACTGTTTCTCATGATCGCGACGTTGACTTCGTAAAAAAGCCAAAATCGAGTTAGTCATTCCTATTGGCTAATCATGACGTTATATCATTTACCGTACCTTTAGCAATCGGAAGTTCCGATACGGTACCGTATCTCTAGCCACGTCGAAATAAATTTGTTTAATTTACAAAACATATGTAATAACTGCTGTTGACTTTTTAAACCCAAAATAACATATTTTAGGGTGGTAAGCTAACTCAATTTTGAAAAATGGAAAATATCACCAGAATCCCAAGAAGAGTCCAGCTTTCTTACAAATATACGGTTGTTTTTCATTATTTTTGTGTACTACACAAGGTATTCCAGAGGACCACACAAATAACTACCATAATTTTCATGTATAAAGGCATTAATTCATTTATTACATAATTGTCCTTTACTGTGTAACCCTATGTTGATCAGTAATCTTCATGTATTGCTAATATTACTGCAATCTGAAAGTCTTCGTCTTTATTATAAACAGTTGTTGGACGTCTATGGGCATCACTCTCTCTATCATTTTTTTGCTTCATTTGATCATTCCATGTGTTGTGAATACTATTTTGACTGACCAAATCATTTACGTCTGCTTAATTTCCATTCTTTAGCAATTAAATTTTCTCAAGTGCTCAAGGGTCTGCTTGCAAACATGGTGGTAGCAATGATACGTCTGTGATCTTGTTGCCTCTATTGAAAATTTCATCTTGCTTGATTTACACTTTTCCGCTTAACTCCATGCCGCATCTTCAAGTTCCTCAGATATCTTTTGTGACAGAAAATCTAAAACTTTTAAGTTATCAGATGATTTCTTCCCTGGTGAAAGTTAATGTCACTTAATTTGAACAACTTTTGGTATTTGCTAGTGTTTGTGTCTAGAATGACCCTCTCTCTGTTGTCATAAAATAAGATATACAGTAGCAACGACCGCAATATTGATGTCTCAAGAATGGAACGGTTGATATTTATGTATTGGTTGTAATTCCTTAAAGCATGCATTGCATGCAGGACAACTTTCGAGTCTGCTTTTCCTGGCTGCTACGGAGATCTGGAAGTAATACAAAATCTCTTTCAGTGACAAGGATGCATTCTCGCCGATAGCAATAGTATTCAAGAAGGTATCCAACCAGTTTGTCGAAATCCAGTTTGTTGAATAGAGTTGCTCACTGAAATCATGAAATCCCAGTTTGCAGAAACTCGGCTTGCCGAAACCCAGAATGCCCAATCCAGTTCGCTGAAATCATGAAATCCCAGTTTGCCAAAACTTAGTTTTCCGAAACCTAGTCCAAATCTCTGTGTTACAAAAGTACAGCATACTGTGCATTTGAAAGGAATGAGCTTCATTTATGTACAAAGTAAAAGGAAAAATAGCTGTAGAAAAACATACTTGAAAGCATGGCTATCAGTTAAAATTAGAATAAAATGAAATTAAATTAAGGATAAGCATCGTATCCTTCTAAAATACTCCCTCTGCAAACCTTATCAGGATTGTTGCGCCAGGTCCCTGACCACCGAGGCTCTAGTCGGCCCCTTGAGTCAGACCCCCTGCCGACAAATTTCTGGAGCCACAATTGGCATGTGTGTATAATTGTAGATTATTATTAATTTGTTTTTATTTCCTTCTTTATTATTTGTTTTTATATAAATTTATGTATTTATCATAGGTATGCTAATAAAACCTTTTAACTGCGAGGCCTATTAAATTGACTTTTATTTGCTGATAGCCCATTGATTTACATATTATTAAAACAATAAGAGTCATTTAACTACAATAAGCTGCTATTTCTTATACGAATATATAGTAAGAGAGTGTTCCAACATGAATGTTATGCTGTGGTTAATGTTTTACTTACTGCTTTTATTTTATTTTCGACAAAGTGGGTTTCAGCGCAAACTGGGTTTCAACAAACTGGGATTCATAGTTTTTGATTCAGCAAACTGGCATTAGGCAAACTGTGTTTTGTCAAAGTGAACTAAAAAATATGGCACTCTGCAACCTGGGGTTCTGCAATCTGGCATAGAACCACCAATTACACCCCAGCTTTCTTTTGTAAAGGAAAACGTAGCTTCTGTAATCGCAAACTGTGTTTGTTGAAACTTTCAGCAACTTTGGAGTTTTAGATGTTCTGTCACAAAATTTGTCTGAAGGACAAGAATATGTCTTACTGCTGCTTGGAGTTAAGGAGAAAGGTGTAAATCAAGCAAGTAACATATTCAATAGAATGTTTTGCAGAGACAAGATCGCTGACATATCATTGTTGCCACCATGTTAGCAGAATCTCGAGCTTCTGCAGATACTTAGCAAACTTAATCGTTCAAGAATGAAAATAAGCAGAGGTAAATGACTGTCAATAAAAATAGTTGATGGAACAGATGGAATAAACAAATTCCCGTGGAAGTCCAAGAATTGTTCATACGATAAATACGAAGAATTTCAGATTGCAGTGATAAAAGTGATACCTGAAGATTATTGCTCAACATAGGGCTATACAGTTAAACACTACAAGACAAATATGTAGTAAATGAATTAATGCCTTCTTCATACATGAAATTGTGGTAGTTGTCTGGAATGCCTTGTATAGCACACAGAAATAATGAAAACCAACCGGATATTTGTAAGGAAGCTGGAATTTTTTTTAAGATTCTGGTGATATTTTCCATTCTTCAAAACAGAAAAGGGCTAATATAAGGGGGAATTTTTACTTACATTTTCAAAAGTGAGTTAGCTTACACCCTTAAAATATGTTGTTTTAGGTTTAAAAAGTCAACAGCAGTTATTACATTCATGTTTTGTAAATTAAACAAATTTGTCTAGGGTATTGAAGCTGCTGTTAAGTTATTTAATTTTGGCGGCAATTTTAAAAAGCGCCCTCAATTGCCTCCCGAAATCTTCACATTAATAGCTTTAGCTAGTTATACTTTACTCCTATCATTACATATTCAAAAGTTGGTCAAACCTACCTCTTCTGTGCTTATTTTACCCATATATATGTAGTTTATTGGAATTTGGTGGCCATTTTGAAAAAGTGTCCTCACACAAAAGTTCTCATCCCTTTTACCTCACATATTCTGATTCCCCATAAAAAACTGGAATTTCTACCTCTCCAAGTGGCACCTATCTCAACTAAGCCTGGTCTAACAGTAGACAAAATAAAATGAACAAACTCCTAATAATGTTTTAAAGGAAGTACTGTTCTCAATCTCAGATCTGCCAACTCCATGAAAATCTGGAGATAAATCTGGAGATTATTTTTTTTTTTTTTTTTAAACTGGAGATTTACCAAAAAATCTGGAGGTTTCCAGAATTAACCAGAATATGATGCAATTTACTAAAAAAAGACATGTCACAACAAATCATAGTGGTATAAAATCAATTGTACAAAATTACTGCAAAACAACTTGTTAAATTGCTGCTTGTCTATCATGGCGAATACATTGAAATAATGATCTAATCAATCATTTATGCATAAAATGCATAAATAGGAGTATTTTGCGGAGGGAACCTGTGAAATCCGGTGAAAATTACATTCGATCGGGAGAACTGGAGATTTATTTAGATATCGGGTGACACCCGACAGGATCAGGTGAGTTGGCAGGTCTGCAATCTTGCTTTTCAGAAAAGAAGAAGATACAGTTAAATCATGTTCATGTAGTAATAATACTTAATTTTACCTTAATGGATTATTTCCAAAGATAAAAAGAACATTTAGATACAGATTACTTAAACAAGGTTGATAGAAAAGGAAATCTTTGCCAACTCGGTAAATCTAGCCGCAATTGTCTAAGGATTTCGTGACTTTGTGGGCGGGCTTTGTCAATTGTAACCTCATGTCAATTGTAACCTCAAGTATTGCATAAAACCTTCGGATAATACTGGGTAGATCTTTTTAAAAAATCTCATTCTTCTGACTGATGGCTTTTGCTTGCTCACTTGTCTCCATTTCAATATTTCAGATCTTTTAATATCATTTGATATAAAACCTTTTTTAGTTTTTGTTTGGTAGTGTTGTGCAATTGTTGAAGCTTATGGAACGGCAAAGGGATTTTTGCACTGCTGATTGTAGTTTGTCCTTTTGGCATGATATCGCCGAAAGCACAAACTACAATCGGCAGCGCAAATGTCTAATGGTAGGCTATAGTGACAAAACCAAAATGGCGGCACACACACACACTGGAGTTCCCGCTGCGCCACTTGACTTTTGCACTGTGCCACTTGACTTTTGCACTGTGCCGCTTGACTTTTGCACTTGAATTTTGGCGATATTGTATGAAACATCAATTTGGCATCAAAATGTGAACTCATTTTTATAAGGCCTGTATTATTAATATTGCTTTGAAATAAACACAGTAGGATAAGGTAAAAACAAAAGAAATCACTGCTTAATGGCTATAACAGGCACATCCCAGAGGGAACAAAGCAAAGCAGAAAACATACATACACAGCACAAAGAGACAGGAAAAATTAAATGAGCAGCAGAGAATCTAGTATGCAGGATGAGTAAAATTAAAACATAAGTGTTTAATACGGACTCATTTTATTCATGAATCACGATGTACAGACAGTACGGACTTTAATGTGGAAAACAGATAAACAAACAAACAAACCATGCACGGGGCATTACTGGGTATGAAAGCACACTGACGGCAGCCTATCACAGCAGTGGGTGTAAAGGGCGTTGTTTGAGAAGAGTACAGCTGGCCGTCCACCTGAGAAAGACACATTGCACCATTTAAACAAGGACAAACTACATCACATATTGCCAGTGCCATTTTAAGTTGCTAGACTAGCATCCGTCCTCCATTTGTCATGGTTAAGAAATGTTGAATTGTCCAGCAGTACCCTGCAACCCTTTCTGCACCAGCTCACTAATGACTATTTTGAGGACCAGCGATGAGAGTACAGTAGTAGAAGTGATACAGCAGACTCAGATGAGGAATAGCAGCCTATTGTTTAAGAAATAACTTACTTTGTTTAGTTGATAATTCAGGAAATTAGAATTAGAATTTTACAACCTTTTAACTTCTGAGATGAACTTGAACATTTGACTGTGTGAGCTGAAAATTAGCATTCTTGGATTGTAAAGGTCAAACCTCAAACTTTTAAAATCAATGGGCCCTCAAATAAGAATTCCTGGATATTAACAGTACACTACTACACTACAATGTTATAACCAATGTAACTAGCTAAAAACTTTGATTCCATTAACCAGAAATGCTTTGGAACTAAAAAAGCTTCTTTTTTATTAATTAATATTGACCTTTGACACATGTGATGACCTCAGCAGCATTTTTAGATTTGAATGAAGGTCAAATCCAAATCAATCAGACATTAAATATGAATTCCTAGATATAAACAGTACACTAAAATGGAATTTTATAAAGCAACGAAAAAAAATACTTTCATTTTTAATCAACCACAAATGTCGACCTTTGACCTCTGAGATGACCTCTGTGTAATTAATTGTAGTTTTATTGTCTGTCAGTCAAATCAGCATGATCTTAGCTTTCATTAAGCCTTTTATAGAGGCACTATGATGATTTTACCTAAAAAATGAAGACTTTGAATATAAATTGGCGGCCATTTTGGATTTGAAGGTCAAAACTAGGTCGAATCATCAATCCAACATCAAAAATGAAATCCTGGACCCCTAATCCCATGCACTAAAGCAGCCATGTAGGCCAAAACACTGAAATGAAATTTTAAAATGGCGGAAGGTGGCCATTTTGGATTTAGGGCTCTCACAGGTTATGCCCACACTTTCGTGAGGGACACCCAAGCTATTTTTGTTGTTATAACTTCAAGGAAGACAAATCCACTAAAAAACTAAATTAGCCTCCACGGTCACGGAATTGCCAGAAATGACCCAACTAATAAGTTGGCAAGATGCAAAAGTCAAGGTTGGTGGCGCATACACTTTAGTTTGCATTGCGCCAGTTTAGTTTTGCACTGTGATTGTTGTCCTTTTGGTGTGATGTCGCCAGAAGGACAACCGGAAATGGCACAATGCAAAAGTCAAGTGGCGGCACACGCATTTGGGTTTGCACTGCCGCCACTCAACTTTTGCGCTGTGCTACTTTAGTAAATCCTATGGAGGAACGATGGGATGGGTTGTGAGCTAAAGATAAAAATGAAAAGCAATTGTACGAAATATGGTGCCATGAAAGTAGATTTTAAGACCTTTCCTAGTAACAGTAACAAGATAAACTGAATTGCCAGCACAGAAAGCTGCTAGTTGCAGTATACCTGTACTAGAAAGTTCACTACAATCTGGTATAAACATGGACAGTTAGTTATTCAAGTGAATTGCCAACACAGAAAGCATTGACAAGTTAAAAGCAGAAAAAAAAAAGAAACATGTCAAGCAGTAGACACACACTCCCCCTGGGAGGCTAATTTTTGTTATTTACAGTATTTATCACTGAGAGTTGATCGATTTCATTCCTAATCTTGTTTGTTTTAGTTTTACTCTTCTTTGGAATTGTATCAAAACCTGATGGTCTTACAACTGAGACATTTGCTGCCTTGTTTCATCTGCATTGCATCAGATTCTCTACCAATATGAAATCTAAATCTAATTTATAATTGAAGGTAAATCAGTACACAATACATGCCAGATATCTTTTCAAGTTAATTTAACTCTGCTTTAGCTCTTTAAAAAACAGTGCCAGTTTCGCTTTTACCAGAGGATCCACTAATTATTCTTAAATAAAACAAAAAGAGAGTAAATCCATAAAGAGACGGACATTTTGAGATTCAACATTTCGATCTACTTGATCATTTTCAAGATTGAAAATGATCAAGTTGATCAAAACGTATCTCAAAATGTCCGTCTCTTTTCGGAGTTATACTGTCTTTATGTTTTAGTTTCTCTTTAGCTTTCTAGCCATTGTATACTGCATGCAGATTTTTTCACACTTTACAGTAGGTCCCTGGTTCAATTGCATCATTACTATTTCAGCTGTTTGTAACTTATTACAAATAGCACACCATATTTAACTGCCTAATAATTCTGTGCCAGAAGACAAGACTGCAAATGCCTTCGTGCATGCATGGGTTATCTTAGTCTTTTTCACACCACAATGAAAAAAATACAAAATTTTAAAATACCTGTTACGTTTTTTTAATGTCCACAGAAGTTTAATAAACCGTCAATCAGGATGTCAAGACAAGAGCAACTAAAGAGTACAAGGTCCTACATCTGGTACACAGGCCATGTTCTTGGAACAGGAGCTACCTCTAATGTGTATATTGGTAGACACAAGGTATATTGAAATATGAATAAAAGTGGTAAAGTTGGTGATGGCTGGAGTTCGTGACCAGCTTTGAAAAAAATAATTTGGCTTTGACCTTGAAAAACCACATGTTACCTGTACACTAAGAAGTCCCAGCAGTGGTTGTCTGCAGACAATGTTATTCCATTTGTTGAGTAGACAACTGAATGTTGATGTGGTCATTATTATATCATGGTAGAGCAGTGACATAATGCTTATGCGCTCTTGCTTTTGTGACCCCTTGGGGCCCCCGAAGAGGCTTCCTATCCATAGGGCCCATCTAGCACCTTGACACAAAAGGGCTTTGTTGAGACTACAGAATAATGTCTCCGACTGTGCATCTTACTACATCCTGTGGCAGTTTTAAGGGAGTGGGCCCTAAATTTGTAAAATAAAAATTAAAATGGGGATAAAAAATATTATATTCCAATTTTAAGTCTTAGTGCCATTTCTGGCCATCTAGAATTGCCATAATCATAAATTTTCTTTCTTTAGCCTCAACCATGGTGGGGCTGAGGTGGTATAGACCCTCCATATGTGAAAGTTGCTCCCTGCGTCCCTAACACCTCTATATTACAAATTCCTGCATCTGCCACTGGTATTATTGTATATCATTTTTTTGTTGTTACAAACATTTAGAATACAACAAAAACATGATTAAAAACAAGCGCATATCTAAAATTCCAAAAGGGCCCCAGTCTCAGAAAGCCACAGGGCCCTATGCCCCATCATTATGACACTTTGGTGGAGGTCTGTGTGAGGTTAATTTTATCACAATTTTAAAACATGGTCATACATTTTTTGACATTTTAAGATTTGTTAAAAAAGGATATGGTGAACATTACATACAAACCAGAAAATAACATTGTTTATGAGAGTGAAATCATAAACTGTAAGTACTGTAGCTACTTACAATGTAAAGTGCCAATAAATATGCAGTCATATTGAAGAAGTTATTTGGCTCTATGCCAGTTTTCCTGCTGTTAAAATGAATTTGGCATCCCTGGATTGTATTTTTATTAGACATATTGAATAGACTGGAAAAACCCACCTCTCCTAGATAGCGGTTGTTTGATTTGGCTGATAGATGAATTTGTTTCTGTTATTTTAAATTCATAAGCCAAGTTTCACTGCCAATATAAAGCTTTAGACCTTGGTTGATTGAATAGTTTATGATTATATAATAATGGCATATTATTTTTTTAAATCATGTTCAATATACTTAGACTACAAAAATAATTATAAATTTCCAGATTATGTTATATTAATACAATATAAGATATTTTTTTAAAGTTCGTAATAATACAGATTATGTAGGGTCTAATTTAAAGTAAGTATTGATGATGTTAAAATTGAAGAACAGAGTAGACAAAAGGAGAGTCAAAGGAAACAAGAAAAGATAACACACTTCATGAAATCATCGTCATCTTCTGAACATGAAGGAAATGTTAATATGGCAGCCAATAAATTTAGCTCATCTATCAGAGAAAAATATTGGCAGATTTCTCTTATGATGTTTACCATCATGCAGCCTGTATTGAAATAATATATCTCTTGCTTGATTAGTTTTGGCCCTATGCCAATTTTTGCCTGGTTATTAATGCCTGGGAAATTACAGTTTATTTTAAGTGTCCCTAGATTGGAACTGAGTAAAATATACATGCATGTTTAATAGACTGGGAAATCCCACCTCTGCTAGTATTATAGAGGTTGTTCGATTTGGCTCAATACATTAATTAGTGAAGGTTATTTTTAATCCACTGCCAACAAATAAATAGATTATTCTCAATACAACAAGCCCACATGAACATTTTCAATTTCACACTTTAATTGTAAAAATCCTTTGTTGGATGAATTTACACACTGGTTGCATTATAATAATATGTTCAGTTAAACTTGCCTAAGTAGAATTCAAAATATTGTTCGACTTGGATAAAATTTGACTTACAGATTGTTAATTAATGGAAAACACTTTGGTGTGTAAAATAAGATTGACAAATTATTTGACTTGATCACAGTTGACTTAGGCAAGTTTAATTGCAATACAGTAGAACCTCGATTTTACGTACCCCAGTTATACGAACCCTCGGTTTTACCTACGCCTCGTATCGACGATGACGTCATAAAAAACCCCGAAAATATTCAAAACAAACAGCCCTTTTCAGAGCAACCATAAGTAAAAAGACTAACAATAAACTATAACAATAAACAAACCATAATGCAACGTATTTTCATTAAACAGCAACGCTGATTGAGTCTAATATCGGGTTGTTATAATCTAAAACCACGTGAACTGAGTGAGATGAACAACTACCGATGGTGCTCAAAATAATTGCTTTCCTCCTTAGCTTCGTGTGGCAAAATCGTCTGGTCGAATTTTCGAAGCTGAGTAGACATAGTTTCGTACACGAACGCTAATTGGTTGGCTCGCCCAAAGCATAGCACACGGTTGCTGTTTCACGTACACGAACGCTAATTGGTTTTAGTTTGTCTCAACAGGCCTAGGCAACACCACAGCTCTGTTGTTTAGAATAGGCATGAAGGGGAACTCCCAAGTTATACCTTTGTCGTATAGGTAATCTTACAATATTTTCATGTTCTTTAGTTAAATAAAAGATATAAAGTGATGAATTAATACAACTAGACACATGGTTTTATTTGAACACTTTAATATTATGACATCGTAAATTGATAAATAAAAACACTAAACACATGGTTTTATTCGTGGGGCTAGGTCTAGCCTAGGCAACATCGTTCGTTCGTTCATACATACGTTTATTGAGCGTTACGTACGTATTAGGTCAAAGGTTACCATAAATTTAACCCAACCTCTATTTTACGAATCCCCCGATTTACGTATGCCCTCCGGTCCCGTACCGTACGTAAAATCGAGGTTCTGCTGTATAGTCCTGCCCATGTTTCCTATTACCATTTTTTAAATTTTATAATCATATTACAGTCACTTAATGTATAGTCAGTTTACAGTATTCACAAAAACTATCAATATTAAAACATTATTCTTCAATAATATTGTGATAAGAAACAAAATATTACATCTTATAAAAGTACACCCAACAAAAGTTAAAAATTGATAAAAAATACACTAAATTATATTCTTAAATCATAATATTTTTTTTGTCATATAAGATGGTAGCTAATACATTCTCGGTAGTGTGTAATAATAACAATGGTAGTGTACCCTCTATGCACTTAACATTATCATTACCTCGGTCAATAGATTAAACACATATGGAACACAAACTCGGCCCCCTGCCTAGGGAGTATTCTGTAACTTTGCAGCAGGTAATCTGTGCATTTTGGTCTTTAACCCTACCAGGTACCCAGTTACCTCCTGGGTGGAGAGAAGCAATGCAGATAAAGATCTGGGGCGGATGCAGGATTTGGAGGTAGGGGGTGCCTTGCTCAATTACACAAATGAAATGCACAGCAAGAGATTGAAACCCAGACCTCGAGGTTGGGAAGCCATACAGTTCACGCTGCGCCAAACCATTTCTACATAAGTACCAAATGTTGTCTGTACACTGCATAGTCCAACATGACTTGTCATGGTATGATGATCAACTTTTGTTTGTTTACATTTGAAGAAAACGGGAGAACAAGTAGCTGTAAAAACGTTCAACAGTGCATCATTTTCTCGACCACATGAAGTCCAAGTACGGGAACTAGATGTAATTAGAAAACTAAAGCACAAGAATATTGTGGACTTGTTAGCGATTGAAGATGACCAGATCACCAAACAACCTGTTATCATTATGGAACTGTGTATGGGAGGATCCCTGTACAGCATACTGGAGGAACCCCAGAATATCTTTGGACTGAAAGAGGAAGAGTTCCTGATAGTTTTGAGGGATGTCAGTAAGTAATAAATGCTCTAATTTAGCTGTTAGGTAACTATGGGTTGCATCCAAAAGCTTGGGTCATGTCATTGGAAATTTAGGTTTTGGGAAAATTCCGGTGGCTTGCTTTGACAGTAAGATGGATAAAATTATAGGATCCAACTTTAAACAAACATTTTGTATTTTTACATGGAAAATTCCAAGTCAAGATTTTACCTGTTATGTTTGATACCATTGTTTCCATGTGTGTGAACCATCCAAATATTATGTTCAGAGATGCCAACTGGATGACTATAATCCAGGCCTTGTCATTTGAAAATGACAGGCGAGCAATAAAACACTCACCATAATTTTCAGGCAAGTGATTATTTTGCGGGATGGCGTGGGGGGGGGGCCCCACTGACGGTTTTTACCGGGCTGACCAAGCCGTCGTACCTGGCTGGCTGGGTAAGAAGAGAAAAGAAAGAGGTAAGAGGGAGGGAAAGAGAAAGAAGGGGAAAGAAAAAGAAAGGAAAAAGAAAAAGAAAAAGAGAAGAGAAAAATAAATACTAGAATAAAAACGAAGATATCATGAACAGATATCACAATACCCTGGCCTGCAACCCCTTCTCCACTTCAAAAAGTGTCCATAGCGCATTTGATCTAAGCCGCCAGGTATTCTCAGCAGTGGCGTAACCACCGAGGACAAGGGGAAAATATCCATCTGCAGAAAATCTTTCCCAATTGAAGATGCCTTATTCACCCCGGAAAGTGCCTGAAAATCTCATATTTTAAATCGCATATTTTGTTGAGGCAGGCCAATTTCCTCTAAAAATTGCACATTTTAGGGAGCTTTGATCAATTCCAATGAAATTAAAAATTAAAAACACAAACATTTTCCGTGCACTTCGCCTGCATTTTTTAAGTTAAAAGTTTGTGCTTGCCGTCCTTTGCCTTCTAAGTTATAACAAATATTACCAAACTCAAGTTAGAAAAATTAACGTAAGGTAGATTGTTTTAACTAAATGAAGGGCCTCGATGTGTAATGATGGTGAAAGAATATGTTGGTAATAAATAAAAAAACGAGTGTGGCCAGATACCGGTATAACATAAGCGCATTTTTTGTTGAGGTAGGCCAATTTTCTCTAAAAATTGCACATTTTAAGGAGTTTTGAACAATTCCAACGAAATTAGAATTAATAACACAAAAAATGTTTGTGCGCTTCGCGTGCATTTTTAGTTACTATGCATGTAATGCTATAGGAACTATTGTAATCACTCTTGCTATTTCCGATGTTTTTTTATTGTGTGTAGTGTGTGTGTGTGTGTGTGTAGACATTTATGCAAATGCGCATGCGTCAAAGAAAAGTTTTCCGACATTTTGTTTTACATCGCGATGCGAATATCGATGTGAAGTTTCTGCAGAGTTCAATCAGGGCTCATGCTACCGATCGGTGGATGAAACTATTTTGGTTTTACGGCAAAAAAAATGAACTGCTGTAGGCATAGGTATTTTGAAGAAGGCCTAAAATAAAACTAAAATGTTTTAATACTCACCGAAATACATCGTTTTTCCATTAAAATCTCCATTTTTCACTAAGTTCATGCGACGTTTTTTTCTGTTGTACGTATGAGCAGTCATATGAAGGTACTATATCCCCGACAGTTGGCTATGCAGCAATGTACCCTTTGTATGCAAACTGAAGACAAGTGAAAATATAAAGGCAGCCGACTGTAAGTACATAACAACTATCTAGCTTTCCACAAAAACATGAGGCCTAAGCTAGGCCTAGTTCAGTATTACTGCGATGCGAGGGTGGTTAAATCATTCAATCAATGATATCGTGTTATCGTCTAATACAATTAAATAATGTGTGTAATATTTAAGAATGCACCACGTGGGTCGCTTTCTTTGTTATGCGGTAGTAGTATACGTAGCAGAGTGACGGCAGCAAGCTAAGTCTAGCCCAGGGCCTAGATCGTGTAAGTTCTTGATCATCGTAATGAAAACTTACAGACAGACGATTGTGCCCAACTGGTGTGGACGATCGGACCCAAGATATTTTCAAATAAATTGTAGTCCTAGCAGGCCACTGCCAGCACCCCCACTTTCGATATCGTTCCAAACTACTGTAAAATGAAAATACTGTATACCTAGCTAGGCACTATGCCTACGAAATTTTTTCAAAGAAATTTGCTAAAAATGTTACTGTAATTTGCCTGTCGAATTACATTACCAGGTGGTCTGAAATCACTATTTTGGGCCATAAAGACTCCCTCTGTATTTTTCAACCACCACACAAATTTGACCCAACCGTACATATAAGTATGTATATA